CATCCTGCTTTGATCGATAGGGTTTTTGACAGGTCCAGTGGCTGAGGTAAAACTTCCACCACTGCAACACAGATTCTCACAAGTCGACTTTCCAAGTATTCGTCCCCCTTGGTCAAGAACACGTGTGACAACAGTTGCATCGATATCTGGGATGAAACCTTCTAGAATCAAAGATCCGTTCATCATAGGAACACMAGCCACGGGGATGSTATCTTTTATGGCTATGGTTTTACCATAGAGTTTTCCACTGGACGCTCCACTGATGTCACATTTCCAGTACCTGCAACGGAACACTGAGCACATCAAGTATTCATTCAAGAATTTGAGAAGTGAAAAGTGATATTCACATCTTCAATATAAAACGTCTCTACAGTTTTTCAGAGATTTGATGATCAATTTGCGCAACAATTAAAAACATTTGACCATACCATGCGTTGAGCGGGTTTTCTTTTTCCGAGGGCTTGTACCCAGGCGTGCGCGGATATTTGACTGGAAGCTTGGGTTCCACTAAATCGTAGAGTTTTTGGTACTTCGCTGCGGTTGAAGCCATTGCSTCTGGAATTGATTATGGTATCACTGTCATATATTGATAAGCGAAAAAAGAAACGGAAWCAAGTAAACAGCTGCACTGACCTGTGTACTGCTTAAGCTCTTCATCTGACAAATCAAGATTCAAGCTTTTGGCGATTTCAGCAACACGATTTAGACTTGGTGGATGGACTGCAGGATGCCTGTAGCTTTCATCTAACATGTCAATCAACATGCATATCGTTTTAACACTAGCTTTACWGTGATTTCGCTCATGTCACGATATGATATACAGATTCAAACGATACTGTTCTAAAAGGATAGAAATCTTTTACAAGAAAACAAAATCAGTCAATCAAGTGAACAAGTTGCATATTCATAAATGAAGTATCGATGAGTAGCTTCATAGGTCACGCAAGGTCTTGTTTCATTACATCAAAGCGACTAGTTTCCATTTCATTCAATCATTTCGCAATGATTTGTATATTTCTAAAGAACAAATGATTCTAGAATATTCCATCACATCGACRCTCATATATTCTATTGTAAATTGTTAGTCGTACTCTTTGATATGCATACTAAAAGGACCAGTTTTCTTATGCAGTCAAGTATTTACTCTGAGTTACAGCTTTTTTGGTCTACCAAAGATGTTTGAGATATTTAGATTTACGTTTATACCTGCGCTAAGCGAATCAGTTTTTTTGTCCGCCATGACTACCTTTMCCTGTTCCTAAATTCACAGTGAAGCTCACTTTTAAGTTTTGTGACAAAAGCTCACGGCTGTATACTCTCCCAGTCTCATTCTCCGCGCAGCCTCAATAAGTGTTTACGCTACGATTTCTTCCCTGCGTGACAGATCAAGGCGGCGCTAACTCTTTCCGAATCCATGGGTCGGTCTTCAGCGTTGTCAGGGCGCAATTGGTCTCGTTTTTACCCCTGAAAAGCGTCACGAGGGGAAAAGGAACATTGCTGGGCTTTTTCTGTGAAATCTTACATTACAGGGATCTTAYATGTTTCTCGTCAATTTTACAAATCTGCATATTTTGCATGCGCGCAATGTACGTGCCAATTTTTCTGCATTTCTTTATTCATTTATCAATTTTTCGTTAATGTTGAGGACAAGAACATTATATACTACAAATTATATCTATTTGAATGCATTTTCTGCGGCGATTATGCATGGAGATTTTAAGTCACACATTGGAATGTTTCACTGTTTATTATTTTATATCAGTTCTCTATTTTTCCGTTCTCAGGCATGCAAAGTGCACTTATTTTTTACTTATAAAAGCCTTTTTAACCACACTGGAATGTTTCACTTTTTATCTCGTAACTGTTCGTAGGCGAAGGCCACATTGAGCACAGTAGACTCATCAAACATTTTACCAATGATCATCATACCAACGGGAAGTCCCTCTGACATGCCAGCGTTGATGGAAAGGGCAGGGTGACCGGTCACGTCAAAGGGACTGGTGTTAGTTGGAAGAATATCGTAAACCTTTTTCTTGAGGGAGAGAGGTTTCTTTGGAAGKGTTGGCATGATGAGCACATCGTACTTCTGCAAGGCATCATCGTATGCTTTTTTCAATTCTCGTCGTAAATTCTGTGCCTTGCTGTAGAATATCCCATTATATTCCTCTTGCATGTATCTAATGAAATGTCAACTCGTCTTGTTAAACTGRTTTAGATTCAATTCAAGTATTTTGGGAAAGCTTTACCTTGCGGTAATACGCCTGATGTTTATGTGAGATGGGTGATCATTGGGGTGTGYTTTCAGTCCTCGAGCAGTTGCTTGCTGTAGGTGGGTGTCGTAGTACATGAGAGCACTCGTTCCAGACGCACCTACAATAATTTATGAGAATAACCATTGATAGATAACCCAGCTCCATGCAGATAATATCTATTTTAGTGTGTGTAGCCTCACCTAAACCTCCAAACATTCCTTCTTSGATTATAGCAAAGAAAAGGACTTCACCTGTTTGCATGAAAACGTTGTTAACGGTGTACCAAATATTGTAAAATACAATATCTTATACAACAATTGTAAGGTACTGTCGAAGACAGGMACATTGTAAGATCATGTGTAAGATATCTTTACCATTATTGTGCCATGGTATCGAMACTTCTTCAACTACTGCACCAATTTCAACAAGTCGTTCTGCTGATTTTCGGACCAGATCGTTTACGTCGGGCTCAGAAAGCTCCGGATTAAAGCCTTCTTTAACGAGACCAATACGAAGACCTTCAATATCGCCATTCAACTGAAACGAATTGGTTTTTGTCAGTGGCATATCTTGGAAGTCTCTTTATGACACACATGGTACACGACGTGCACCATCACCATCACCTGCTTGGTGTACTCTGGTATCTTGAGGTCCCTCGGCTGCCTTGGRTCCAAACCCTCGCCATCCACACCAGCGATTGACTGTACGTGAACAACAAAGACAAATGAATGGAAAAACATTATTTTAAAGTTCTATCATTAAACTGATTCACTCATCAGTTATCATATAACATTCATACCTCAAGGAGAAGTGCTRTATCATAAACTGTCCTTGCCATTGGTCCTGTGTGATCCAGTGTCAAGTCTATCGGTGAAATCCCTGTATAAGGTACTAGTCCATATGTTGGCTTCAATCCCACAATTCCACACCAAGCAGATGGGATACGTATGGATCCTCCTTGATCACCTCCAAGAGCCATGTCAACTTCACCGGTAGCGACCTAAAATGAAAATCAAGTTTCTGCATGTTGTTGTTCCCTGGATGACATCATGAGATGAACGTTGTCGAGGACGATTCAAGATCTGAATCAATCAGATCAGAGCATACTGTACTGTCGGTCTGTAGCAAGTGTACAGAAGAAATTCTAATCAGTCTTCAACGTGCAGCTTACAGTGTTCACCGATTATCGCGGCGGATCCAGACGAGCATCTCAACGGGAGGATGGCTAACCCAAGAAATATGAATAATAAATGGATACATTGAGGCAGAACATGAAATTAATTTCTTTCAGATATACACTGCTTAAGTTGTTTTCCAGAATAAGTCCCATTAAAATTTAATTCCCCCCCTCCCAGATTCGCAATTGGACTATCCTGGCAGCATTTTGTCGGACCTCATTTCCAGTTAACACAGAATGAGAGACCGAGTTACATACCAAAACAGCGGACCCTGAGGAAGATCCTCCCGTCATCTTGCTTTGATCGATAGGGTTTATGACAGGCCCAGTGGCTGCAGTAAGACTTCCACCGCTACAACACAAATTCTCACAAGTCGACTTTCCAAGTATTCGTCCCCCTTGGTCAAGAACACGTGTGACAACAGTTGCATCGATATCTGGGATGAAACCTTCTAGAATCAAAGATCCGTTCATCATAGGAACACCAGCCACGGGGATGGTATCTTTTATGGCTATGGTTTTACCATAGAGTTTTCCACTGGACGATCCACTGATGTCACATTTCCAGTACCTGACACGGAACAACACATCAAGCATGGTCAGAGAAAAATGATATTCATATTTAAAATATATACAAGAACTTTTCTTTTACGATGCTACATCTTTTGATTGGTTGCTTATGATAACCAATTGAAGAGAACTGGACAGTGAAAACATACCATGCGTTGAGCGGGTTTTCTTTTTCMGAGGGCTTGTACCCAGGTGTTCGCGGATATTTAACTGGAAGCTTRGGTTCCACTAGATCATAGAGTTTTTGGTACCTCGCCGCGGTTAAAGCCATTGCATCTGGAATGAATCATTTTCATTTTGATTGTTGTTACTAATGCGTTAGATACGAATTGACAATGGTACTATCCCTTTAGAATGATATAAATCTAATACGATCGGTCTAAACCCTTTGAGGAACAACTCCCATTGCTCGTTAAGTTGATGGTAGCCGTCAAACTCAGACTCAGAAATTTTTAATCCGACGTTAATTATGCGATTAGCCCACCGTTCACTAGTCTCCTCTCCCAGCCTTTACGAGTTCCTTCTCAGGGGAGAGTGACCTGGAAACGAGCCTCGTAACGGCTGCGAGAGGAGACTACATCGTTKCGTGCGTGACATAATTTATATACCGACCTGTGTACTGYTTRAGYTCTTCATCTGACAAATCAAGATTCAAGCTTTTGGCGATTTCAGCAACACGATGTAGACTTGGTGGATGGACTGCAGGATGCCTGTAGCTTTCATCTAACATGTCAATCAACATGCATATTATTATTGAATTGCATATKAATTCGTCTGTTAGGTCACGCGATATTGCGTTTTACCGGCGATTTACTTCACTWGCTTTGCGACGATTTCTTCCTTAAAAAACAAATGTTGTAGAATACTACATCCATATATATTCCATAATTTCTATTGTAAACAGTCTAAACGCTGACAGGCATATATAATCATAGTTTTCATTAACCAAGGAAGATTACTAGTTTCCTCATGCTAAAGTGACCGAGTGTCTTTTGTCTGGTTTTTAAAATAGCCATGACAATGAATTTGAGGCAAATACGGCTTTGCTTTCTTGATTTCATATTTGAACTAGTATTCTAGAATGTAGTTTTTACCCGAATCACTAAGTGAACCAACTGTCCTCTCTGCCATAGCGACCTTTCCACTGCAATGAGTACTCACTCGTGGTGTTGCGTGATGACAGCTGTCAGTCACTAGTCTTAATYCTCGTAAACTGGTAACGCTTTCTACTCCCTACGTAACACTGTTACGGTTGCGAGGGAGACTAGCGTTGCTCACAACAATCAAGCAAGGCCACGTCTATAAAACAATCATTTATTTATTTTTTTAAAAATTATTACAAAATACTCTTTGTCCGAAATAAAAGATGAACAGGGAATAAAACAAGCGGTCTGACAAGACGAGCTTCAGATAATTGTGATGATAGTATTAAACATCTTCCTGACGACCTTGTTTTCTTTGTATATCCTATCATCCCATGGGAAGAGAGAGCCAACAAGCTGGCAGGTTGTTTGAACTTCATGGAATGTTGGCAACCACGAAACCAAATGATGGGTCAGGAATCTTGTGGTCGCGTGCTCTGCAGCAGACTGATGATGGCGATGATGACAATGATCAGTAACATGAGACTATGTTCCTCTATTTCAAGCAAGCTTTGTCATCAACACCACACACGGTGATCCACGTKGTATCATTAGTTGGTGTTGGTTGAAGGCATTTCGTCTTAGGGTTGAGTGATATTTGTATTGGTATATATGCAGCGCGGACAACCCCTTGCCTTGAAAACAACACAACATTAGCCATCGTAATGGTGKGATCACTATTTGGCAAAATATTCAGCATTCAACGTACTTGTTTAGTTCAACCCTTAAAATTCGTGAATCCAGTGAGTTGTCATCGATAGCTGATGTTGCCATGAGTTTTTCAAATCCTTCCATCATTTTCTTAGACGGGTCTGGATTCGCGTAAAATACCTGTAAGAATAATTAAATGAATTCATCAGCAACATCATGMATATTACAAATGTTGTTCAACTTAATGTAACCTGGATATCGGACTCACAGAGAGAAATGGAGAATGAAATAACAAAAAGGAAAGCCTTTAACTAACCCCTGCTTATTCCAGTCCTTGCAGAAAATATTCATGTTAAATCCGCCATACATGTAAAAGATTATCGAATATTCGTTTTGACGATTCGGGCGTTGGTTCTACAGGGCGACAAGTTTTTTCTCGACTAGTATTTCACTTCAGGTTTCTCGCATAATCAAGAAATTCAAGCAGTAGCCGAATCTAATTACCTTAGTCATGTATTTGGGACCAAATAAGAAATTTCCCAAACTATACGCAATTAAAGAACGACCATTCAAGGTGTGACCCTCGAGTACATGTGGATGTGCACCAATTACTACATGGACACCAATTGTCTGGAGATGTTGTGCTTGTTGCTGCTGGCTTTCTGTTGGKGTTGTCAGGTATTCTTCACCCCAGTGCATCATAACAACAATGACGTCTACTCTTTCCTTCACAACGAAGACCAGGAATAACAAAATMTCAAAATGACGTTACCATAACAACTATTTCTCTGTTTGTCAGTATATTGTCATTTATTCAAGTAGCAATTAACACAGCACTCATTACCTTGAGTTCTTTAACGTCTCTTGTAGCAGCTTGATCTGAGTAAATTGCTGGTCCGATATTCAGACATTTTCTTTTCTCAACACAAAAGTGATAAAAAATTATATCTCCTGTTGATAGGTCCACCAAACGTTTGTAGCATGAGCAATATCCAAGGAAACCAATTTTGATATCATCCTTCTCTAGAATCACAGGAATCTACAAGAAATAATCACGTGATGAAGGCCAATAGCGATTCCCATGATAAATCCCTCGAAATTGACGTCATCATATGAAGGGGCAGACTTTATCAACCGTATATATATATCAGATACAGATAAGCACTAACTTGTGGTTGCTCATTATCAAGATTTCCAAAGCTATAACCAAATGATAAGATGCCGTGTTCCTGTAGCAAATCTACTGTATAATTAATGGGTCTTGTTTTGTAATCGTTTAGATGATTGTTCGCAAGTGTTACAATGTCAAAACCTGCAAATCTGAAAATATAGAGCACTGGAAACATTATGGAGAATTTGTGGGCAGATGTATCCAGAGACGCAAACAGTACCCCTGCTCTCTCACATTTTACACCTCATTCAGTTGATCAGCCATTACATGCGACATCAAATGTTATTGTATAATATATGAATCTTACTTTAAAGCGTCTATACTGCTAGGATTAGCATGCAACAAAGGGACGAACTCACGCTGAGCATCCTTTTTCATGTCTTCCTGGACAAATGGACTCTCCAGATTTCCAATAACGAAGTCCGACTTGTTGAATAAAGGTGCGACGTTGGCAAACGTCTTGGAATACGAACATAATCCTTCGTTATTGTAGTATTTTGGTGCTCCATCAAAATTGATGTCCCCAACAAAATCCAAAGTTACACCTGCAACTAAACCCAACGATAACTCATCAATCGATTTGAATATTTGCAATGGTACTAGTCAACAAGTGTCAACGCTGTGGTTGGTTTAGTTTATTGGTACCTTGGGAATCGACGGAGAAAATGTCACTGTTTTTGTCGTGTTTTTTTATTTACTGTGTAGCTTTGTCTATGGTACAATATCACATACTTCAATTTGGTCACTGGCACTCCAATAACTATGAAAACAATAAAAGGCACGTCCGTCGCATTCAGWTTTTTTTTTTGGAAATGCATCTTCTCAAACTCAATCGCGTATCATCGTAGGGTCAGGTACTTTCGGAATTTTGTCCTGTATGGAACGCCATTTAAAAATGTCTCTTCAAAAGAATAATATTGGAGATATCCAAAGATTTTTTTTTGTGTCGGCTCTTTTCTACTATCTCAATAAGGCTTATCCTCATTAATTATTGAAGTTATGTTTTTTAGATATTTTAAATTCAATTAAAGTTCAATACAAATTTGATCGTAAATATTTACGAACAAAAGGTAAACTAATTAAACGTATTGCTTCAAAGTGCTCATAACAAGTCAAAAACGTTAGTCGGTTTTAATGTAATGGTACTTCTTTCATACTTAACGATGAGAATGTAAAGCGGCCGGCTGACCAGTTTGATCAGGATGGTTTCTTTTGTTTTGAACTCCGCTTCATATAATCAGAGCTTAATACAACGCGTCAGTATTAAAAAGGGAGATTTAGTATTTGTGCTTACTTGTTTGAATGATTTCACAGATCACCATCAAGCTAAACATATTATTATACGTTGTGTAACATCCTATAAGGGATTCACTATAACCAAGGTTCAACAGATTCAACGGGTGACTGATTTTGACAACCGTAGAATGGTTACCTGTAGTAAGACTAGTAAACCTCCATTCCTTCCCCACTGGGCTAAAAAACGTGGCGGTTAGAATCTTCCCCCTCCCATCCCCAGCTGGTCTAGAAAACCATCAAAACTTCACAGAAATTCTTGACATCTTGAAATCTAACACAAATAACTCTTTCAGTTCAGTCAGTTAATTCAAAARTTTATTATTTTTCGCTTTACAGTGTTACTTTTTGCAATATAAAAAACAAATTATGATCTTTAACTATCTATATTTCTTTTTCAATCTCTACTTTTACTTTTATTTTCAGCTTTTATTTAGAGCGCTTAGAGCTATAGAAGCGCTATAGAAGCTTACATATATTATTATGTTTGGGCTTCCTTTATCGAAACCATGCCATATATGGAGACAAACAAAATGGCCGATTGTTGAGAATGTTTTCGCTATAATATCTGCAAGTTTCAGACGATTTCATACTTTAAAAGTCGAGAAAATCGCCAAAAACCATTCATATCGTACTTCCAAATAAGGTAAGATTACCATATATGGCTGCTAAACTAAGGACAACTTTTCTGGGCCTTCATTTGTATAATTTTCTGGTAATCAGTTTTGGCACCAATGTTCACTATCGATGTTTGTTGTCATTTGCTATTATCTCGCAGCTTTTCGTAGGCGTAGGCCACATTGAGCACCGTACACTCATCAAACCATTGACCAATTATCATCATACCTACGGGTAGTCGATCTTCAGACAGACCAGCATTGATGGTGAGAGCAGGGTGGCCAGTCAGATTAAATGCTCTTGTATTACCAGACWTTTGAAAAGCCTTTTGGACCAATTCTGGAAAAGTCACGTTTAGTATAGAGTTATGAATGCAGGGCGCAAACATGTTTGAATAATGCAATGGTTGGAAATGGTTAGGTTAAAATTGCTTTATTCGAATGACCAATTAACTGGTCAATTGAAAATGGATCTTATGTGGTATTTGTGAGGTCTTATCAAATTGGCTTTACCTTGATTAACACAATTAACCCTAAAAATTCTTAAAGGACTATATATCATCTATATCATGCTAAATCACAAAAACTATTATTAACACCGTGAAAATCAATCTATGTTTTTTTTCTAAGTCGACTCATTTTCAGCAATGTCCACTATGATATGTTTCGATTTTTACATCTTTTATTCTATTTGAATGAAAATTTTACTAACCAGTTAATTTGCTATGTCGTGAAGGAGGAAGTTGAGACACTGGGCACGTTGGCATGATCAGCACATGGTATTTCTGCAAGGCCTCATTGTATGCTCTTTTCAATTCTCGTCGTAAATTCTGTGCCTTGCTGTAGAATATCCCATTGTAGTCTTCACGCATATATCTATCGACATCCATTTTAAGATAAAAATTTCATGCTCGATTTCATTTTAAGACTTCCCACAAAAAACTGTGRCAAGTTATTTAGCAATCTTATAAACCAATACGATTTAGCTTGTGAGGGTGAATGTCTTATGTCCCTACTGGCGCAATGAGTCTAGATGATGGTGAGTTCATGCAGAGAAAACTCCCGGTTTAAACCATTCCACGGATGCGTTCAATTGCGTTTAATCGATAGTCACATTGACAGACTTGAATAAAAACAGTGATCTGACCTTCCAGTAAGACGCAAAAATGTTGCCGTGACGGAGTGATCATTGGGGTGTGCTTTCATTCCTCGAGCAGTTGCTTGCTGTAGATGGGTGTCGTAGTACATGAGAGCACTCGTTCCAGACACACCTAAAGATGAAAAATACTAATTAAGCTGTGAAAACAGTTAAAATCTCTAATATTTAGTAAAATTGTCAAGACAAGTCAACTAGCCTCCCAATCAGACAACCAGTTAACTGGCTTAAACAACAAAGCAAAGAGCGTAATCAATTCTTTTTCATTTCAATGTCAGTTTACAAGGTTGCCTCTTCTTCCTAAGGAAACAAAACAAGGTACTTGCCATTATGCCCTCCAAACATCGCCTCTGGATATAATGCTGCAGTGATATATCGTGCTGCGTTGAAAACAGAACCAGTCAACTCCATAAATGACAATTAATGGATGCTAAACTGGAAAAAAAAGGCAGGCAGAAAAACGTTTTTACATCTAGCTTGAAAAATTGTAATTCAAACGAATATTTTAGTTTTTGCATTTACTTGTGTCTAAAACAGGAAAACCAGAGTCAAGTAATAAAATGAAACATTTTTTTATTAGACGTTATTATCAAACCAGTGAAGTTACCATTATTGTGCCACGGTACTGATACCTCCTCAACTACTGCACCAATTTCAACGAAGCGTTCTGCTGATTTTCTGACCAGATTGTTTACGTCAGAGCCATACTCGGGATTAAAACCTTCTTTGACGAGACCAATACGAAGACCTTTGATATCATCATTTAGCTAGAAAGCAAATCCATTTCTAGTTTAATGCCAACTTATTCACTTCCATCAAAACTTATAAATCAGAAATTCCAAGTGGTATAACATGGGCGGATCCAGCTGGTGGGTGCAGGGGGTGCGCACCCCCTCCTGAGATTTGTATCCTTCAATACTTTCCTTATATCTTCTTGGTGCACCCCCTCCTGAGATCTGTATCCTTCAATACTTTCCTTATATCTTCTTGGTGCACCCCCTCCTGAGAT